TCAAGGGCAAAACTCCCATTAACACAGAACAGTCTCTAAGGAACATCAGCGATGTAACGAATACAGTAGAACCTCAGAATTACAAACACCTCGGGAATGGAGGTTATTCATAACTGAAATGTTCAGAATGCTGAACAAAACATCATGGTTGTTCTTTCAAAAGTTTACAACTGAACGTTGACTTAAGACAGCTTTGAAACTTTAAAAAAAGAAAAGAAAGAAAAGCAGCATTTTCTTCTGCATAGTAAAGTAATTTATATTTAACACAGTCCTGTACTGTATTTGGTTGGGGTTGTTTTGGTTGGTTTTTGGCTGTGTGGCTGCCTGATTGCGTATTTCCAGTTCCAAATGAGGTGTGTGGTTGACTGGTCAGTTGGTAACTCTGGTGTTCGTAACTCTGAGGTTCTACTGTGCAGTGAATTTCACATCTGATGCAACTACTATAATGGCAGTAGCATCAGATGCTAAATTCACTCTGTTAATTACATCGTTGATGTTCCTGAGATGCTGTCTCTGCATACTTACTGCGTATTACTGGCCAACGCCTCCTCTATCCCTAGTGAGAGAGAGAGAGAGAGAGAGAATGTATTTCTGTAACTCAAGGTACTCAATCTACTGGTGAGAAGGACAAATTGTCCTCTGATGCTCTCCTGTCAGGTGCTGAGCACCCTCACCTCCCATTGAAGAGCTAAGAGCCCACAACTTCTCCAGGATCAGGCCCTCAATGCCCAATTCTGCATCACTGAAGTCAACACTCAATTGATCTCACTGGTTTCAATGGAAACTGGGTCAGCCCTTGTGGCTGTGATTCAACAAAGCACTTAAACACTTGCTTACCACATGGAAGCCCATTCCTGTTCAATAAGGCCTCCCAGTTCAAGAACGCAGTCCTGTTCAGGAAGGGCACTTAAGCACACGCGTCAGTGGTTTGCTGAATTAAGGCCTATATGCACATATGCAGCCTCCACTGATGTTAATGGGAGTTGCTTACAAGTATCGGGTGGCAGAATGCGACCCCAAATGTTACCAAAATAAGCTTGGAACATGATGTCTTTTATTCACCTCCACAGGTTACAATGAAAACAAGCATGTCTATGATTTGGTAAAATATATTTTATTTGTTCATACAAAGAAATAGTATGAATTATCAGAATTTCATTTTCCTAGAAACATCTTTCTCTGTGTAAAATTAATTTGTGTTGTACATACCACAAAATACTTGATTTACAATTTTTTAATTTTCTTTTTTAAAAACAAATTGGCTATTCTATAGTACCATGTTACAGACAACACATCGCTAATATCTGTACTGCACTTCTGAATACAGGGCTGAATGAAACTCAGCCATAAATTAATGTTACAATGTGAAAAAAGAAAAACTAACCACACCTCTGAGTTTAACAGTTTATCATTCTTGAAGAAAACAAAACATGATGATAGCATCGAGTCCATTATTAGCAACCAGATGCATACTACAGGGAATCCAGTCTTGGTTGCCATATTGCTTAGGTAAGGCCTTTTATATTAATTGGTCTTATATAAATTTTGTTACAAAGGCTGTTCAGCCAGGATTAGCAATTTGCTTAAGGTATTCAGAGTATCAAACACCACATATTTCTATAATCCAACATGGTTGCCTCATGAAACCATTCAGTACCAAGGCTTGATTACACCAACTAAGCCAACAGCCTGGTGAATTTTGTACAGTTGAGAAAGGCATCGGGAGATCAAAAATTGTTACAAAGAAAGCAATATACAGAGAGATCAGGGCACCTAAATCCTCCAGTATATATCTATCTATATAAAAAACAACCTAAGGAAACAGAGGTGAAATGAAGAAATGACAAAGTGATAAGTACCTGAAGTTGGCCAAGTACTGGAAGAAATGGGATCACATGGTTGGACAATGTTGTCACTTCACCAGAAAGTGACCCTGGTTTCATGAAAGCTGAGTGAACAGCTGGAGAGTTATTCCTTCCTGGCCATGCAGGGCCACCAGAGTACAAGGCTTAATTCAACACACTGCATAAGTTCTTCAGTAGGAAGACACAGAGATTCAAGTTCTGTAATAACTAGTGTCCTAGGATGCTGCTTTACAAGATCTAAAGCTTTTTTCTGCAATCATTCAAGAACCTCAAGCTAGCAGGCCCTTATGGTAAACTGAATATGCTAGTATATTTATCACTCGGTAGTAGAGGGGGGTCCACTCCAAAAGCCTGGACCCAAAACGCACACACATCCAAAACGCCCCTTGAGTCTTCATCTCAATTTTGGAACCCAGGGCTCCCTCTGCACTGCAGTAATGAGGATGCCACACTCTCTACTGTGGTTTTTCATAGTATTAGCTAATGTGTCATTCAGCTGATGGAACTGCCTATGGCAAAACAATACTGTTTCACGGGCGAGATTTTACCTTTCCTTGAAATGGGAAAGGCTCGGAGGAAAAACCAAATCAAAGGTTGCACCATGCTCCAAAACCAACCAAAATTAGACTGTCATTATAGAGCTTGATACCGCAAAGTGCTTAGCATCCCCCGGCCTCACCCTGCTGGGATTTGAGGGTGCTCTCATATACCCGTCTTTCTCCTCTCCCACCAACCTGGGTGTGGTCCCCTTCCCCCAGTGGCATTGATAAATAGGAGAGCTGGGACAGGGGAGCCTTTTGACTCTGTATCTACCTTTACTTGCGATGACATTACACTGCTCTCATAAACAAGTTAAAATTCCCAGTTAGTCATTAGGTTAAACTAAGCACTCCTTGGGTTTAGAATGGGAGCAGATCCATCCACATTTCAAGGGACAGCATTTTACTGCAAATCTCTTTGTTACAGAGACAGAGGGCTGGCTTCTACTCTCAGGACCATTAGTGTAAGTGAGATCAGAGCTGGACCCAGACAGAGCAACATGGGCCTGTTAATTGAATAGTTCGGAAGGAAAGTTATTGCATCTGCATGTCCATCATTAAGCAGCTGTACTGGACAGCTGTATAGAACAAGCAAGAGTAAGGATGCTGTTAAAGTAAAAGCAACATCTGGGGAATGCTATATGACAAACACCACCACAGCTGGGTATTGTTTAGTAATCTGGTATTACAGTGGAGGGGGTGCTGATGGGGGTGGCCACTGGCATCTTCAGCCTTGTGCTAAGATATATTGGTGACACATATGTAACAAACATATCAACATAATGAAATCATGTATCCTTTACCCATTTGCTGTTGCTGTAGCATTATACATGCAGTTGTCTAACGTTTTATTACATTGCACATATATTATGCAAGTACTTGTTTACTTACACAGTAACATCATAAGGTTTATTTAGCAAATACCTTGCTGCTCCCATGACATAGTATTTATACACATTCCTGCACACTCTATGAGAGGTGCAATTAATAGCTTGTTTAATCTACACTCAAGGTTAAACTGGAGTCAAAAACAGCCACATGTACCCTGTAGTTGCCCTGGAACGATGGTATGGCCCTGCTTTAATTAAATTCAGTGGGAATTAGGATTGGGATTTTCTGCAGTTACCCTAGCCACTAAGAGGTCCATTAGAAATGGGTGAACCTCAGGCAGTGAGGATAGACACCCAAAGTTTGTGGAGATTATCCACACCACCTAAGCCTGCAAAATTTGGCCAGAATTCTTGTGAGAATCAGATTCATTCACTAACCCCTAGCTTCTGTCAGAACTGTAAATTCTGCAAGAATAGCCATTCTGAGGGTGGGTCAACATTTCTGGTTCCACTCCTGGCCTGACACCAGAAACACTCCTCTGAATAGCCCAGCTCCTCAAAAAGCATTTGGTTCAAACTACAAGCAAAATGTTCGGTTCTTATTTTAACTGGTTGTCCCATCCTCGCTTATGTATTTAAAATGATCAACGGTTACACCTCTGAGTAAAGAGCGGTCTTGACGAATATCAGGGCCCTGTGCGATACAGAACAGATGTTTGATTCAGGGTCTTATTTTCCAAATATTTGGGGTGAATGTACTGCATGTGAAATGAGGGACCAATGGCAGTAATTGCAAGCAAGTACAATGCAAGTGTCCCTAAGCAGTTCTATGGATTTGTCTGAATCCTGCCTGGTAACACCCCCTCCCAGTTCCAGATAGAGGCCTGTTCTGGACAGAGACTGTTGATGAAGTATTAGACTAAAACGTAGGGTGGACAAGACAACATCCAATGGAAATAAGGCTGAAGGTGCCCCGCCCCGCCCCCCAACACATCCCCACACAATCACTGCACTGCTGACCTGCCTCAGATCCCCAGCTGTGGATGGAGTCACTGTGTCCCCTACCCACTCCTCGGGGAACACTAAATCAGTGATAGACTCATACCCTGGTTTGTGCTAATGGCTCCTGTGGTTCTTTTGATTTCTTTGGTGTGTCAAAGCAGATGCTCTGCCTGCATGCTTGACTCTAGTGCGTTTTAAAATGGGTTCCCTACAAGGTAAGTGCATATATGTAGGAGCTGAATTTCATTTACCTCGTCATAGTTCCACCCAGCACAAAGCATTTCACATCTTTAATAAGAATAAAGTTTTTCAAAAAATGCATAAAGTCCCCACCCAGGAAACCCTGTTTGGGCCAGTGGGGGGAGATTCTCCTTGTTAAAAAAAACCAACCAAACAATAAAACAAAGCCAAGAAGGAAAAAAAGAACAGACTGATAAGACTGCTCCCCCCTTGCAGCAAAATGTCATGCTATTGGTACTCTTTTCCAAAGGAGCACCTTATGCACCAAGCAACACTTGGGGAAACAGAAGCAAGCAGAAGACTCCCAGCAGCAACACAGCTGGGCACTGGGGATCCTGATGGACTTTGCACATTAGAACGCCCAGTGAAGCAGCTGCTGTGTTAGGCGTAAGTATCTGAGCTCCATAGAGCAGCACAGCCTCTCCCTCCCCTACTGTTATTCAGACGGCAGGAAGGAACGTGATGACGGGCCAACAGATCTCATGAAAAAGGTAGGGGGACAGATACTAGGGAGTGGGAAGATGACAAGTAAATGGTTATAAAGGCCTAATACCCGTAACGAAAATAAAATTGTGCTTTTTCCCCCCCCTTTCCTTTCCAATACTAATTTCCTCTAGGTAATGGAAGCACCGTCAATTACAAACCAAACAAAATAAAAAGACCAATATTAGAATTAAACACCATGGAATGTTAAAAAAAAAAAAAGGTTATGGGCTAATATTCTAGACAGTGTGGTTAGGCAGCTTAGTGAATTAATTACTTAAAAATTAAAAATAAATTATTATAAAATAGATTTCTGTACATTTTACATACACACACACACACACATATATCTTTATAGAAGCAAGCTGCACCGTGGGGTAATTACAGGGAGACACTGTCGTGTCAGCCTCAGTCCCAGCCGAAGTCGTGCCCAGTCATCTGGTAGAACTTCATGTTGAAAGGCCTGTAGAACTCCCGCAGTCTCTGCACCACCTCTCGGTCTATATTGGGGTGGGTCCTGCCTTTCGTTTTCCCCAGGCAGTGGGGTTTGCTGCTCCCTTCAGCCTTCTTCAGACAGGGGAAGCCCTTGGTTTTGTTGAAGTAGAAGTGTTTGTCCGTAATGATCCTCTTAAGGCCCAGAAAGTCCTGGACCCTGCCCAGCTCCCCGGCAGGGTCACTGATCAGCCTCTCCCCACTGACAAAGAGGATCTGCCCAATGGGGAAGTAGAGGAGCCAGTTCTCCAGGTGCTTGGCGTAGATGCCGATCTGGATGGCGCTCCACGAGGTGTCGATCAGGCCTGTAGTCCTGTTTTTGAAGGTCAGGCTCTCAAAGGTGGGGATATCGGGCTTCTTTGAGAGAGTCTGCGTGTAATCGGAGATGGCTCGGGTCACGGGGTCCCGCACCACCACGATGAGCTTGGTGCCCTTCGACATGGCAGAGATTCGAGCAGGTGCTTCCTTGGTGACGAAGTAGCTGGGGGTTTTCTCCATGGTGATCTGCCCATCCAGGGTTTTGGGCATCAGGTCTCTGCCAAGAAAACAAATGCACTGGTTAGGACAGCAGGATAACTCATTCCTTGCAATGTAACCTTTATGGGCCCTCCTACCAGCACACGTCCTATTAGCGTGACTTGCAAATACACAAAGTATTCACGCACGAGGTTAGACTCTTGGCAATTATACCACAGTAGTGATTCATGCTCTATGTTCGGCTTGCTTTAAAGAGGCTAGTCCACCTCCGCAGGGTGTGAATTAGCTGCAGCCTTGAAACTACATTAGTTCAGCAAAATGGAATTGAAATACATTCATCAGAAAAAGCTGGAGCACAAAGAAAAGGAATCATTCACCCTCAGGTGCCTATGCAGATTGCCCAGCACAAAGGAAAATCCTATTTCCCTATTACTTTGCTTTTGTAAAGGTTACTGGGCTAAATTTCTAATGGGACACCCATTGCTCTTCTCTTTTGTAACACTACACTGGGAAGTTTTTCTAATGTGCATCACAAGAGAGACCATCTCCTGCTTGTGAAGCATAAAGCACGTACAAGTGTGTGCAATGCAGCAAGTTGAACAAACAACTGCATGGTAACTTGTCAACAGCAGGCCCACCATGTGTACTCAGAGGAAGAGGCCTCTTAAATTCTCTCAATTGGCCTTTCCTCTAGCTCCCCTGAAAGCGCACAACTGTTTCCTAGAATACTTGTACAGCATCTAGCACAACAGGATCCAGGTCCACAACTGGGGCTCCTAGGTGCTTCTGTAACACAAATAATAAAAAACAACAACTCCTGTTGAGTTCAATGGGAGCCATGATCATGAACCCAAGGGAAAAACTTGAGCCCTGTGTTTTAATATCATGTAATGTGAATGTATAACAGCAAGACAATCCTTAGTCTAGGACAATAGCTTTCGTGCGCTTTGGCTAGTAATTGTACAAATTTTACCTAATCCAATAATACTTAACTCCTTGATGCAATGTATCAAATCCACTGTAACTTGTATCATACTAATAGAGAATACAAGTGAAAAAAAAAAAAGATCTCTTCAAAAGGCAGTATCCCACATACCTCTTCTCAGGCATTCCACCCACTAAGCTCGAACATATTGAAACATCATAAGAAAGGAGCATTGGGGCTCCGTAATTTAACATGCCAAATGTTTTCACATCTATATGCTCCTCTTTCATTTCAGGCAAGATTTGCTCAGGAGCAGTCTAGAAAACCCATGCCCACAGTAGGTCTGTGCAAAGTGGCAAGAGGCAAAACCTCTGGGGGAGGGCAGCTAGTCTTTGCACCTACTGCGTGCTGTGGGAAAGATCTCCATGCCAGCTTTCCATAGGTCAGTGTGTAGAGCAATGGTGGGGCAGACCAGTGGAAATGCTGTCGGATCCATGTTTAAATGGATGTAGTGTCCTACCATGCAAGCAGCCAGAGGAAGTGGATTTCACCTCTCCCATGCCGTTGCATTTCACCCACAGTAAGGCCTAACTCCACACGCTTCACACAAATGCAGCGCTTTTTACCCATTGCATGCCATGCCTGAACACTGGTGTCAGATGGAATCTGCACTGCTCTATCAAATTCCCAGGGTGAGTGAGTCTCCAAAAAACACTTTGCCAAGTAAAAGAGTAATTTTCAGGAGAAGCTGCTCTCCAACTTGTGAATCCCATAAAAAGTCTATTTTCCAATCCAATCACAAAACACAGCAGGCCAATAATGGCACAGCAAACAACTACTGAATCTCACCAGAGCGGAGGCTGAATTTGACAGACCACTTGTTCACCAGTGTCTGTTTTTTTGAGGAAACTGAACCTGATCTCCATAGCCTGTGCTGGCTGTCTCCTGGCTTAAGACGTTGGTTTTGACTTAGGTAGCTCCCAAGCCAGCCAGGGCTTCATATCTAGGAGATGGTTCACCCCTGTGACCTACTGCAGCAGCTGTGGTTGGCGGAAGTGCCTACGTTGAAGCCCCTTTGGAAGTAGAAAGAGGAGTCTGTTAGTGTGCTGGACCTTGGGAACTGCCTTTCTCCCAAGGTTCGTGAGAGCCAGAGCTAATTAGCCTTTGAGGCATGGTGGAAGGCCTGCTTTTTTTCCCTGGAGGAGATAGGTAGTCTCCATCTCTTGCTTTCTTCGAGACCAGATGCTTTAGCCAAGCAAGTTATTGGGCTCAACACAGAGTAACTGGGTGAGATTATAAGAAGGTCAGCCTAGATGATCTAATGGTCCCTGCTGGCCTTAAACTCTGCAAATCTAGGAAAGGCTGGGCAGTGGTGGTGTGTAGAACTCTTGGATTGCATAGGAGGGGGAAGTAGTAGGAATCAATTAATTTTTATTACATTTATAGTGTTGCTGGGTCAGTTGATCCAATTGGAGAGGAAGTGACAGGGGCATTTATTTAGTTCGTTTTCTAAAAGAACATCCTGGGCACTAAGAACACTGGACAAATGCTCCATTATGCTTTGTAAAAATCCAAAAACTAATACATCGCCCCTGGCAGGTACAGCAATTAAATCCACAGGTCTTTGGGATGCTGGAAATGTGGGGTTCACTGGGAGAAGAATCGTAAATCTCATGATCTAGTGGCCTCCTACCTTTATAGATGTATATCCACCTCCCAGAACAAGGAGTAATGGTCTCAAGTTGCAGTGGGGGAGATTTAGGTTGGATATTAGGAAAAACTTTTTCACTAGGAGGGTGGTGAAACACTGGAATGTGTTACCTAGGGAGGTGGTGGAATCTCCTTCCTTAGAAGTTTTTAAGGTCAGGCTCGACAAAGCCCTGGCTGGGATGATTGAATTGGGGATTGGTCCTGCTTTGAGCAGGGGGTTGGACTAGATGACCTCCTGAGGTCCCTTCCAACCCTGATATTCTATGATTTTACAATTCTCCCAACAGATTTACAAAATAGCCACAACTGGCCAGAACCAGAATTCATGTGAAATGCTGCCGAGACACCATAACTCCTGTTGGCTTCAGAGTGAGCTGAGGGTGCTCCGTTCCTTACAGGATTAGCTCAAGAGAGTGTTTCAAAGCAAAGTTGCCTGGGCTCCCCCTACTGGATCTGCAGTGGCATTTTGCAGAAAGATGGTGTTTCTAGAGCTATGAACGTCCCTGTTGAAATGCTGGCACAGATACTACAACAGCAGCAGCCAAACAGACTCATATTGTGCCTTCCTCTGCATGTGAAAAACCCAGAGTCTGTTCTTTGCCAGTGAAGAAGAATAAAACTGGTAGGGAGAGAAATGTGATCGTCAAGCTTTTCAGAAGGTATTCCAGGCAAAGGAGAGTAAGAATAAAAACCCTCTCAACATGCATTAGAGTTGTTGAAAGTGCCACTAAGATCTAGTTCCAAAGCAAAGCTTTCCCACTATGTGCTGACGCTCTGTAGTATATGGGTAGCGTCCCAAGACCACAATCCCACCAGCAGAAGCACAGAGATTGTCTCACAGGGTCTGCCTTGTTTTAAAAGGCAGTGTACAAAGCAAAAGGACAACAATTGCATTTGATGGACAACGAAGCCTGTTGATACTAAGATGGGTTTGAACATTGGATTAAAACAACCTCATGCTTTAGGAAAATTAAGATCTGTATCTAGGTCCAACTTTGACGTTCTGGCCCATCTCTAGCAGAGATCTGCATATGGGTCTTCCATGCTTTCCTAAACAGGAGAGTAGTTGGCTTGCTTGCGACTAAATAGGGGAAGCATCAAAGTCACAGGACTACAGGTTTACCAGATGGCCTGAGATTTACACAGGTGGAGAAGTAGCTAATGCTTGTTGATACCTACCTTCACTAAGAATAGATCATGATGATTCCTAGGTGAGCCACCATTTGATTCATGGGTGTATACAAAGGGCAAACTGGTCTCATCTTGTGGCACCTTAGAGACTAACCAATTTATTTGAGCATGAGCTTTCGTGAGCTACAGTTTCCACGGTATGCATCCGATGAAGTGAGCTGTAGCTCACGAAAGCTCATGCTCAAATAAATTGGTTAGTCTCTAAGGTGCCACAAGTCCTCCTTTTCTTTTTGCGAATACAGACTAACACGGCTGTTACTCTGAAACTGGTCTCATCTTGGCACTAAGGGACCAATCCCTACACACACTGAAGTCCACAGTAAAACTCTTGTTAGCTTTGGTGCAAGAAGGAATAGGCCCGAGTCGTACAACCTAGTCGCTCTGAAAGGGACTGATCCCAGAGCTTCAGGAACAGCAAGAGCAAATTAAATCAGTGGAGACGCATTCATTGGAGAGAAGAAAATTAGAAGAAGAGACAGTGATCAGAAGAACTGCTGTAGTGGACACATTGTCAGGCTGTAACCCATCAGGCTCAAAGGAGGGGAATCTAACTTTGCCCCACTCTTGCTGATCTGCTGGGCATAAAGGCTAAAGAGGCTAATGTGCTACCTGGATGGCTCTGTAATGTATTCTACAACCACTCCTCATTTCTAATACACAGGTGCGGCTCATGGAGACTATAGGATCCAGCCTGCAGGCTTCATCCTGACCTGCGGAAGACCTACATCCAAGTTAAAGGTCTGGATAGCTTCAGTCTGCTCTGTGCAAATGGGTGTGGCTCCTGATAAACTCTTAACACAGGGTGAGACTATGAAAGAGGAGTTAGCCATTGGCAATCTTAATACCCTTTTACATCTCAGACAACCTTTCCCATACTCTTTGGCTGGGCAAGGTTTGGGTGCCTGAAGCTTTCAGAAAGCTAACAACAAACCCCCTCTTGGCGGTTCCCAGCACCCCCTCATGCAGACACTGCACCACACTGGGCCAGACCCTCAGCTGGTGGAAGCTTGCATAGGTCCATTGACTTCAGTGGAGCTATGACAACTGACACCAGCTGAGATTTGGCCCTTAAAACTTCCGTGGAAAAGGGTCTCGGCAAAGCCATGAAGTGGCTGTGTGAGCAGAGAGATGCATTTTCCACAGGCAGAGAGCAGACCTCCTAACTCCAAGCTCTTAAGATGTCAGGGAAGACAGAATTAAAAAAGCTTTTCCTTTAATGAATATTTGTTCAG